GGCGGGGGACGGGGCGGGCCCGGCGCAGAAGGAGGCGGGGCGTGCTCACCCGGGGCCGCGGAATCCTTGCTTACTGGGTGCCCCGCCTGCAGACTGTGGGGGGCGCGGAGCTCCCGCTAAGGGCGACCCCGCCAAAGCCCCGCACGCCACAGCGCCTCCTAGGGAGCAGGCGAGAAGCAGCTGGTGCGGTCCCGCCCCCTGCCAGGCCCGCGGGGGAGGGCGACGTGGGGGCGGATCCCGAGTGCTCCCATTGGTGCACAGCGGGACTGCCCAGCCCACAGGCTGCAAAGGATCCCTCCCAGAAGCGCGTCAGCGGGTTATTGTTACAACCCGGGGTTTCCCGGGGCAACAGGAATGGGGCGGGGCTCAAAACACTGGTCCCTCCCTTCTTCTACCACCCTCAGAAATGCCCCGCCCTCTGTTTCTAGACCCCTGACGTTTCCAAGTCTTCTTTGCAACAGCCAGACCAAGCGTGGGTCTAACTCTCCTCTCTCTTCTTTGTGCCCTGGACCGGTCTAGGGAAAAGGAATGGTTTAATAATTTCTGGATTGTAGACCAGGCGTTGTCATAGCCCTACCTGTTCCGTGTGCAAATGGGCTTCCTAGGTTTTATGGCGCTTCCAAGCACAATTTTAGAGCTTTGATTTTCAAAGTTCAACTTGTGGGAGAGGTTTATCCTGCATACTATTTAAAAAGATCCTTGGACCCCGACCCTCGAGTTTCTGGCGGTGGGTCTATGTTGGGACGGAGACAAGTTCTCCGACACTAAGGACCTCGCTACAAATCAATGTCTTTCAGAATGTGGACTTTTGAAGCAAGTTCAGAATGTTTGGGGAAGGAAATTCATTCATTTAATGGGTATTTATTTATTGAGCGTCTTCGTCGTTCCTGTCTCCTTTCAGGGCCCTATGGCAAGAACAGCAAACGGATACAAATGAGGTCCCTACTGTATAGACAACTAGAGGAGGACTCAGATGTTAATCCCATCATCACGTGACCTGAGAGGGAGCAGCTCCTGAGAGGCTATGCAGTCCATTACCTCATCCCAAAGGGTACAGGAGGCTAAGTCTCCAGACACCCCTCCATCTGCCAGCCTTTGCTCAGGCTATGCCGTATGCCCAGAATCACCCATTTCCATCCACAAGGCCCCCACCCAAACTCAGCTTAAACGTCAGCCTAATTCTGACACCTCATCTAAGTCCAACCCCTGCACATCCCTTACTATTCCCTGCTTGCTCAGACCATTGATGCCCTTTGGCACAGTCTCCTGTTTTGAACCAAGAGGAAACTGAGGCCCAGAGGGGGGTAGCAACCTACCCAAATCAGCATGGCCAGCACTAGAATTCCAAATTTTAACCCCTTCCTGGCCAGTACCTGGTAGAGTTCTCTGGATAGTGGAAAAACTGTGTTCTCCCTAAGTGAGACGGGCCTCCTCTCCAAAAACTACCTTCGCTCAGATTAAAACCCAGGAAAGGATGACTGCCAAGGGTGAAAGTAAGACTTGGATTGCAAGACTGGAGCCTCTCCCCCTCCCCCACCAGGGTTGGAGCCAACCCATCTTTGCAGATGACTGGCATAGCATCAGCCTGAGTCACTTGCCAAAGGCAAGGGTGGGCATGGAAACTGTGGGCTATCCCTTTCATATATACATGCTTCAGGTGGTTCTGTTTGGAGCATGTAGGGCTGACCCCCCCACAGTTCACAGATGCCCTTCTTGCCTGGGGAGTTGACACTGGGCCTGCTTCTTGGGTTCCCCGGAGGCCAGGCAAGCTTCCCGCCATCCTTGAGGTTAGGCATGGCTCTGAGTGTGACATGGGAACTTGCTGGGGACCACACTAGGGTGGGCAGAAACTCAGCTGGGGACTCTGGCACAGGCTGCCACTGCAGAGCTGGGACACCAGGTTGGCAGAAATGCCCAGGGGCTGACTCAGGCTCTGCTCTGCCCCTGCCTGCCTAGTGACCACAGCTGCTGCCTGACCTCTCCTCTGGGGCTGATGCCTGGCACCGTCAATGCTCTAACACACCCACTAGGGCACACTGACTTTCTTTTTCATTCACAGGCCCATCCCTGCTTACACACTCATCAGAGCAGTCTCACGGATGGTTAAAAGGAGTAAGGCAAGTCATTAACTGTTTGAAGCCCCATTCCCTGCCCTGTCAGCAGCTATCACCATGGTACATCTGAAGTATGAAAGAAGATTCTGAACAATAGGCTCAGAATCAGTCCAGAAATGTTGTCTTAATTATTATTGCTTATATGTATTTTCCCTTCTTATTTTTCTTTTCTCAATTCATATACTCTTCTCAACTGCTCTCACGATGAGCACACACCTCAGCTCACACTCACGGGCTCACTCATGTACACACTTGCTGCATGCTCTACACTTAAATCTAGTTGCATAACCCTTATCTTCCCATAGTTTTCTTGACCACTGGCTCCCCAGTCCCCTCCCCCACGCGAGCTCTCCAGCTCCGCCTTCTTTCACTGCCACTCACTCCCACATCCGGTCTGCTCTCAGACAAGTTCCTACCTGCTTACCTTCCTATGTCTCCTTCTTCCACACACTGGCACACTTGCTTTCACACCTTCCTCATCAGGAACTTGCACGTGCATTTTGATGCATGCCTACATTTGTTCACCTGTGCACGTCTGTCACGTGCTTGCCCATACAACTCTCTAACTAACGCTTGTACATATGTGCCCAAACAATGCCAGCAGCCTCCTCAGTGCCTCAGCTGGTCCGCCCCTCCCCAGGCCAAACATATACCACACAACTGTCCCCATGCACACACCTCAGTGAACAACCCCCATGCTGGTCTCCGTGAACTGTTTCCTCTCATTGCTTCCTCTCCTGTTACAGACCTTCCCACCTCTCAGAATAGCCCCTGCCACCATGGCTGCTACCACGGCTGAGCTGTCAGGGCCCGCCAGAGCCTGCGTCCCTCTGCTCTGTGCCAGCTTTCCTGGCTCGCTCAGGGGTAAGTGAGGACAGGAGGGAGGATTCTCTGAGGACTGATGTGTGTACCCAGCTCTGTACTCCGGCACCTCGCTTTCAGAGCCCACCTGGAAGACAGTCTTTGGGGTTGGCTGCTGCCACCTGCACCACCCTGCCAGGGCCTCCTGACCATCACCCTTCTCACCCTGTGAAAGCAGAGAGGCCACCTCCCCTCCATAGACTCAGAGAGGAAAGGGTTTTACTTGGACAGAGGTAGATCACGGTAAAATCCGACTGGTCCTCCTAGGCTCTTCAAGAGGACCCTTTCCTAAGTCACAGATTTCAAATAAAGCAAATAAATAAACCCTTCTGATGCTGAGTGGAGCCTGCTTGATATTTGATGCCTCAGTGGCAGGGAAAGGAATAGTACAGGGGTGATGTCTGCAGACACCTCTGGAATGTGGGGGAGGGGCTGGTGTCCAGAGGAGGCCTCCAGGTTGGAAGGGGGAGTGTCTGTAGAAGACAGAGGGGACATCAGGACAGCTGGGAGCACCTCCAGCACAGGCTCATGCCTGGCTCAGGCTGGGACAGTGCCCGGAAATGGGTGGGGCTGAGCTGAAGAGGCCAGGCCAAAGGGACAAGGCAGCATGGAGGGCCCCTTGAGAAGAACCAAGGCCCCTTCAGTTGCTTCCACAAACTTCCTGGGGTTCAGGGTTTGCTGATTTGGAGAAGCAGCTCAAGCAGCCACTGAGGAGTTCCTGCCAACATGGGGATCAGGCCCAAAGGACCTGGTGTTCTCTTCTTACCAGAGAACTGTCCACCAGAGAATCAATGCCAGAGTGAGTCCTTCTTACCCCTTTCCAGCCTGCCTTCTTATGCCCTAGGTTCCACCAAGCGCCTACTGAGTACCAGCCTCTGTGGAGCTCCTGACTGAGAATCTAACTCCTTGGGGACAAGAGCTTGGCCCATTCAGTTCACAGCTCTGTCCTCAGGGCCTCGAGGAGAGGTTGGCACAGAGGAAGGAAAGCAAAGCATGGGAAACGAGAGCTCACTCTATTCTTGCAAGCCCCTGAGAGGCAGGTATGCTTACTTCTACTTTCTGAATGGTGGAAAAGGGGCCCAGAGAAGGAAAGTGAGCCTCCTGACTCCCCGCGATTCAAACTGTGTGTCAGGGCCTGCTCTGTGTGTGTACACATGCATGTGTGTGAACAGGGCTATGACGTGCATGCACATGGAGGCCTGAAGACAACCTCTGATGTCAGTGCTTGCCTTCCTCCCCGAGGCTCAGACTTCCTTTGGTTGCTCACTGATGAATGTGCTGGGCTAGCTGGCTTGTGGGTTCCCAGGGGTTCTCCCAGCTCCTCTTCCCATCTTGCCTTGGAGCATTGGGGTCTGATTTTATGTGGGCTCTGGGGATTCAAATTCAGGTGCTCACACTTGTGTGTCGAGCATTTTAGTCACTGAGCCATCACTCCAGCCTTGGGTTAGCTTCTTGCGGCGCCAAGGGTATGCTTCTGCTATGGGAAATGAGCGTAGAGAAGGGAAATCCCTTCCCTTTCCCTGAGCCTCTGTTTCCTTATTGTGCAATGAGAATGGCTGTCCTTAACTGCGATGTGATCAAGATGCCTAGCCAGAAGGTAGAAATGTAGCATAATCGAAGGTG